ATCAATATTGCAAGCTGTTATTTCTAAAATTACCTTTACAAGCAAAGAGTGTTTTGATTATATGCATCCGGACGATGGCACCATTAACTCTATTGGTGATCCCTGCGGTTGATGTATGGGTCCATTAGGCTGTTAGGGTTATGTGCTTAACACTTTATCTAAGCCTCTGTGCAGGATTAGGTATCGTTACACATAGTACATCATGCCCTTTATCGCTCATCTTCAAGCTATTAAATAATTATTCTCTTACTATATAGGCTGTTGAACGCATATTGCACTACTCTTTCTACTACGCTAGAAGTGGTTGTCTAGAACCTTCTTAGTCAAGTGGTTTTAGTAGTCGTCGACGCAGTCTCTATATATAGAAAATAGTCTTCTCCAGATCGCAAGAGTTATTGTAAACAATATCTTGTAGTGAATTGGTCATAGCCCGAAAGAATTTCGAGACGGAGGTCAAAAATAACTACAAATATCAAGCGAATACACTAGGTGATACCGTAGACCTGCTCGCGCACCCACGGCGGAGCGTGGCACTAATCCAGTCAGTATTGACTGATCATCCCAGATCTCCGGAGAATATGGCCCGGGGGCTCAGAAAGGGGAGCTCAAGCTCGGTGCCTGTATTTATGACAAACCTCGTCGAGAATCCAGAGGGTAGCATTTGTTACCGCGCAGTCAAAAGTTAACTACATTTCTGCAGACAAACGTCTCTTGAACTGCTTGCTTTGAATATCAGGGCTTTTGTCAGAGAGCCGGTTTGCCAGGGCTCGGCTCAGGCAGTATCCATGCCGTTCGAAGAGGGAAACACCTCATGAACTAAGGTAACAAAGAACGTTTTTCAGAAGTTACACGAAGTACTCGAGCAGTTAAGAAGTACATTTATTCTATACGTGACTGGGTAATGAATAGTCTTCCCCGGATCTGCGCTGTGCTTCTTTCTGCAGACACTGAGTTAGACGTAAGTTCCTGCTTGTACATAGTTGCGATAGATTACTTACTTCGTCGACGTGATACCTTAGGTAGTCTCCCAGAAAACTGTTACAGATGCCCCTGTCTGTCGAGAACATAGTCTCAATATTTCTTCAGGCTTCCTACCTGACATAAATCTTTGAGAGCACCTGCCCAGTGCAGCTGAAGTTTGTTAGGTCTTCATCCTTCTCTCCTGTGCTCTTTCCAAACAGATTTCTGAGTGACTTCCAGTCGAGCCAATTGATTACTCCATTCCTTCTAGATAATGTGTTCACAGAGGCTTTAAAAATGGATGCCCCCTTAATGCTATTCTGTTTCTCTTTTCCTTTCTTCTCCCAAGTACCATTTTCCAAGTTCCCTTTAACTCTGATAACTCAATCTCATAATGTCTGGTTGGGCCATCTTCGAACGCATTTCCCAGAATTGTTGCATTCTCCTTTTCATAGAACGACTCATCCAACTCGCGATAGCCTTCGAAAAGCTGCGCCTTTCTCGGAGATCGATTCGTCAAAGAAACCCGGGAGGCTAAGGTACAGATGGGGGCGGTATTCGACTTAGTAACCTAGGGACGACCTGACAACGCGGATGACAAGGGGTGGGAGTGTACTAACTGCGGGAGTTCTGAGTAGATGTTTGCTTTGACTTGTGCTTGTAATTTTTGTATATACTGGATGTGGCACTTAGCTTAGGGCAGAGCGGCCGGTGGAGGTTTTTTGTTTTGGGGGGGGTGGGTTTAGTCACACCGGCGACGAGCTCACCCTTCTACGCAGAGTCGGTGACTAGTAGCCCTAGGCGAAGCTAAGATGAGCTCAGCTGTATTTCAATCCATGCGGCCAATCCCATCTCTCTTCTTTCTCAGATTGTTCCAAGCATAATGTTCAACCATATTGCCTGAGCATAACTGTAACTTCCAGCCGCAGCTAGCAACTTTGGATATGTATAACAGCAAGTAGTGGTCCCCGAGAATAGGCTGTGACTGGGATAATTCTGCTGTACGGAAGGGTGCAGGGTTACAGAATAAGGTTTAGAGTCATAACTGGGAGAGACGTGAGGTTGACAGGCACTGAGTGAAGCACCAGCGGGTATTCCAAAATGAATCAGATCTCTGATCTCATTTGTTAGCAACTACCTATACCAAATATAATTTGATCCGGGAGCAGTGGAAGCAACAGGCTCGATCCAATACTGCGCGACGAGTCAGTTGCGACGTTTCCGAATCCACATTCTATCTGGCCATTTGCTGGTTCCCAGATTTCTTATAACAGATAAATCAAAGGAGCGCGGCTGGTTGCCATTATCTGTATCTTCCCGAATGACCCTACGACTGCTGACGCGCAAACTTCTGGTATGCCAACCTGAAAAGCTTGAACCAGCTTCATCAAAGGATACCCTGAGCCACTTTCTGGTGGCCTGATGTGGACACTTCGAGCGAGTCTTCATACCTGAAGCTAGTGTTTCTGGGGACATTTCTTTGAACCTACAAAACGTATCCACGCGCAAAGTCCGAGTTTCTTCATCATACGAGAATGAAGTTTCGACTTCGGCCTTCATGAAAGGATGATCAGTGAAGGTGCAGTCGTGCCATAACCGGTCCTGACACTCCCTAGAGCCCATGTGAAACAGAACATTATTGAAGTAATATTGACGCCCATCATGCACTTGCTTGCTAGCATACTTGCATACTTCTATCAAGTTAATCTTATCAAGGAATGAGATTGTGAGGCAGGGGCATATTTCGACCTCGCCAGCATAAGCCATGCACTCATTTTGTCCATGGAGTGGTTGACATTCAAAACAATATGGCTTTCGGTAAGAGCGCCATGTCCATCGTGGATCTTGCCATGCTGAATGAGGGTGCAGACTCCAGCATGCACCGCAGTACTTCCAACGGCTATTCTCTAGTTGGTGGAGTAATTTGATTCGCGGCCGCTTTTCGGCGTTGGGACACAGCTTCTGTCGTTTTTCGGGTGGCAGGAGCTGAGCAAGCTGTAGATCGTGGGCCTGGAGAAAGGAATGGAAACAAGCAAAGAGATATTTGCAACTCAGCGAGAAGCAAACTTGGTCTGGCTCCGTAAGATATGTCAATATGACTCCCTCCACCTCGGGTGGAAGTTTCTGCACATTGAGGAATTGCGGTGGACGCTGTCGGAGGACATCTTGGAGAAGAGGCCAGCGTTTTGCCCTGGCATGTGAGAGAGTCATATTGGGTGTTTTGAAGTTGTTGCGAGAAAGTAATAGACGACAGTAGAGAAAATAACGGTGGAAAGAACCCAAAGAGATTCTATTCTCAATTCTACACATTCGTTACGTTTTTCGGCGTCATCAACTAGACAGCATCCACGGCTGACCGTATATCGCGTCCGTTGGTTCTCATGGACCGACACTACTCTCGGATAGAAGTGAGCAGGAAATAGAATCATCTGTATGATTGTATATGGTACCACCCCAGCTAATGACGGCATTAACAGACCTCATGCCAAGCCAACATCACTGGGTCTTCAAAGACTCTATCCCTCTTTGACGAGGTCGAGGACCAGCTTCTTGGACGTTGGTTGAGATATGAGGTTGTCGATGTAAGCGATCACTCAGAGTGGACGAAGTGGTTGGGTCTCTGCTACCGACTCGGGATGCCGGGGGGAGCTCGGCCCATGGTTACTGACCGACGAGTTGCTCTTGTACCTAGTACCACAGCTTCACAGGGTGACTAGAAAGTGAAAAGACTGAGAAGAATACAGCTCCTGCCTCTTATCAGCAGCCCAATAATGGCGACCTCTCAAATCTCGATTGTCGACTCAACTCGACAGTGCCAATACTTTTGGTCGGCCCGAGTCTGTCGGATTCCCTCCGTACTTGATTACGAAATCGGAGCCCATTTAGGTCCCACATAGTGGCAGATGCCACATCAAAGCACCGGTTTTCGGCAGTTCAACATTCAACCCTTTCATCAGGGAAGTCATGATTGGTGGAATCATTTCTCCCAATTTTGTAATGCTGCTGTTCGCTTCTATCTGCTCGGAAATGGGCAGGAATTCGGAGCTGGCGAGAGTCACTAGGCGTGTAATAATGCTCGAGGATCGAAACTTCGGGATGTCATACTCCGCGGAGGACTTGATCCACGTCGTTCAGTGAATCTGGATCATCATAATATGTATCTGCAGAGTATTGTGAGACTGCACTGTGATTGATTAATAATTAATTAGGAGTAGTTAACTAGATTGATTACTACTTGAGACATGGACCACACTGCACCGTTGATGCAGCCATTAGTTCCCTTCAATAGTTAGGACCAAGCCCTTGTGAGACGCTGAAGCGCAGATATTTGTAGGATTCAAGTCAATAATAATGGAATTGGTGCAATGATAATACTGATCATGATACTATAGGCTCCTTCTTCCCACATCCCGCCGTGGAGAACCGTGGAGAGCCAAATGTGGGGAGAAGCCGACGGAAACCAGCGCCCTCGTTTTGTCACATCCTGAGCCACTTGCCGAGCTCTTCCCGATCGCTTTGTCGCTAACACCCGTCCTCCTCTTCCTCGGAATGGGTCTCACTTCGGCCATCAGAGTCTTATCCTCGATCTGGAAGAGTCGATGTGTTGATAGGGTTATTGCAAGTGGCTATGGAAAAGTGTGGTCGGTTCCTGTCCACCCTTTCTCCCATGATACACAGCGTTTCACCTTCCGATTGCGCCTAAGAAGTTCGTTCCTTTACTATATCGAACGAAAATTGAGTGGTCAGTCACGACGAGGAGGGACAGACACGTTTGACCTCTTGTGCCGCGACTATCTGTTCCTAGGTTGATTCCTACTGCTTCCCTCTCGATTTCCGTCCGCCGACCCCTTCGTTCTTCTGGTCGTCTGCGCCCAGGGCTCTGTATCTCTTGTCCATTCCTCCACACCCTACATGGCGTGCAGATCTGCCCGTCATTGATTCCTCCTCGATGGAGGAAAGTCCAGATCCAAAAGTCCCTCGACGGAAGAGGGTTTCACGGGCTTGCGATAGGTGTCGGAGCAAAAAGGTTAGCTCATTTTATGTCCCATTTCTGGTCCCTCTACGCATCAGCCGTGCCTGTCCCTTGATCTTTAATCTTCCTACATAGTCAGACGCGGCGGGCTGTGACTGACACCGTTTTTGACATATAGGACAAATGCGATGGCCTTCGACCGTCTTGTTCCGCCTGCCGAGCCTCTGGCCAGGCATGTTCGTACGATCCACATGCGAAGAAACGTGGTCTGCCGGAGGGCTACGTTCGCGGTCTTGAGAAGCTTTGGGCTCTGTCGATCTGCAATATAGATGGCTTCGAAGATACTATGCTGGCCCTTTTGGGCACAACACCTGACTCTGCTGGCCGAAGGGATAAGCTTTTGACCTTGTGGATGGACGACAGTGCTTCAGAAACGTTGCACGAGTCCTGGAAAACCAGTCGCCTCTATGGCACGTTGGAGAAGATGTTGTCGCACTCCGATACGTCTTCATCGCATGGTTCGAGCAAGAGGCCACGGGACGAAAATGATACCGGCTCGTTAGATTCGACAAGCGAATGGGGTTTCAGACTTGACCGCAGTTCTACACCTTTGGCACAGGATGCGCCTCGGGTGGTAGGACTTCCCTCTTCCCAAAATGTCAAGAGACCTCGATTGTCACAGTCGGGTGACGGCGTGTCGGTACCGCAAGCCACTGGCAGAGTGCAACCTTTGAAACTTCCTCCTCAAACATCGCAGCTGTTGGACACATATTTCGCAGTCACTCATTCCTGGTTCCCGGTCGTGGCGAAGCATAATATCCTTCGAGCATCCTATCTTTACGCAAGCGCCCCTCTGTCCGTTGAGAGCATGTCACCTGGATCCGGTGACCACGCCGCACTGTGGGCAGTTCTCAGTTACACGATTTCTCACTCGCGAACCAATGCACGGGATGGGGCTTTCGGGGTTCTCGCCACAACAAAGGAGTATTACACCATCGCTCGAAGCCTGATACCTTCCGAAACGGCACGTTACGAGCTTGGGCATGTGCAGGCGCTTCTGTTGCTGACTTTGGTGAACATCGGGCTTGAAGATTGGACGGCCGCTTGGCTGCTAAGCGGTCAAGCGGTGCGCATGGCTATTTCCATGAATCTAGGCTCACTTGCAGACATAAGGCGCTCCGACGAGCTGCGGCAAGGTAAAGCTGTATATCTCGGCTGCTTCGTCGTTGACTCTTTACTTTCCTTTCGAATAGCACGGAGACCGTGCATGCACCCTCGAGATCTGACTACTGTCGGGTTGCTTGAAGAAGACGGCCTAGAAGAATGGAATTCTTGGGCTGACGTTCTGCCCGCCAAAGGAACTGCTCAGGGAAGGACACCTCGACGCGGCCCCCTTCTTGCCCTTAGCTGCTTCAACCGGCTGGTAGAGCTGGCTAGTGTTTTGAACAAAATAGCCCGTGACGCAGTTGGCGGGCCTAATGCTCATAAGTTTGCGCAACAACTGGTGCTCGAACTGAAACAATGGGACGATCGTCTGCCCCTTGGATGCCGTCTCATTGGACCTGAAAGTATCTATCCTGAACGGCACTCGTCTCTACTTCCACATCAGACCTATCTAGGGTTGACGTACGTTGCTACACTATTATGGTTGTATTTGCGTATTGCTCCTCAGGAGCTCGACTTGCATCGCTCTCAGCGGCCTGCCATCGAAGGTGCGAAGAAACTTCTATTCCGCGCCCTGCCTATGATTTCCCAACACCTGGAAAATTTTCCTACGTGCAGCCTTCCTCCTATCTTTGAGCTTTCTTTACGCACCATCGCCGAGCAAGCATCTGTTTTGCAAAGCAAGATCGAGTCTGACACGTTTCCTTTCGCGCGATGGGCGGAAGCGTTAATTCAACGAACTGAGGAACTCGGCTCTACATGGCCCCTCTACCGTTCACTGAACACAGCTATTGAAAAATCGTATCGCCTCAGAAACGTGCCGGGACATTCATTATCTTTCCAGCCGCCCTGTGAGGGCAGTTTTTCAAGAAACAGACATGCCTTGTCCAACGCTGTGTCCACGATTACCACCACAATGGGTGCAGCTCCAGGAACCCGAAATCCACCAGCTGTCAGCCGAACATACTCTGACATCCGAGGATTCCAGCCTGGTGCGAGCGATTCCGATAATACGTCCACCATACTCGGCATAAGCATCCCTGTAGACGCCCAATATATGACTCTCAAGGATTCGACAATGGATACTGGCGACCTTTCAATGCTGGATATATCCTTTCAGCAACAAATAGGAGGCGATTCTTCGATTTTTAGCAAATCCAATTCAGCAAATGGGCTAGAAGCGGCGTTGCTTCCATCAGCTCAAAGTCACCCTCACCCACCAACCCCGGATTCCTCAAGCTCTAATCCAACCATACCTGGCAAAGCCAACTCATCTATGACCGATGGTCAGACCGCACCCAGTGATATTGATGCTATTTTCAAAGACCTTGCATATCTGGACACTACCGATTGGGCTACAAGTCGTGAGGCAGGCTTGAAGGATTTTGGATTTCTTGATGACAGTACATTCCAGGCATTTTGTCATGATCCAGATCGTTTGGTCGGATCTCAGCCGCTGGTTCACCCGCCGTCTATTGCCGACATCTGGCCTCCCCCGGGATTTTTCCCGGAGACCTTCCAAGAATCTACCGACGACATGGAAAGTTAAACTTCACCAAGGTCCCTTCTTCAATAAGCAACGACGCCGTACTGGAAGTTCGCGCATTTGACTTGAACGAAGTTCCACATTCCCAGGCTCCTTGACTTCGCTGCTTTGATGTTATCAAGCCGGGGGAATGCCGACGGGAAATGATGATCCTTGAAGTTGGAAGCGATGTGTGTTCACATGATACCCAAATGTAAGTAGCAATGCTATGATGTTTTTTTTTAGACTTCATAACGAGCTAATTGATGCTTGTATAGTTGAATTCTTCGAATATTTGTATATAGTCATCAGATAGACGTCTCCTCTGTGACTGCTACTACGTGACACCTCGCTTCATATATCAGCGAATATCAATATTTTGGTAGTACGCTTAGTCAAGGAAAAGCGATTGACTATGATGTTTTCACGAATCTTGAATGGTCTGGCGGTGAACTTTTCAGTTCAGCAAATTTGGTTCAAAAAGGCAGCAAGCAGCGACTACATCAATATATCAACGGCAGATATACCTTTAGCAGCAGCGACCTGTGAAGCCAACGGCTCAAAATATCAATGTTCTTCCACGGCGGACTGATGTGCTTGTTGACCGATGGCACGATGTCGAAATCGGAGACACGCCTGGCTTGTATGCTTGATAGTAATGATCTCTGGAAGTGTCCAACGAGAATCGACTCTTACCTTTTATGAGCGTGTGGCCGGAGAATGTCCATAGTGAGGCAAAGAAGTAATACGCTCCAGAGTCAGGACCGTCTCCGCTTCACAGCTGGTGCTTCTGCTTGTGATGTCTCCACAAATGCTACCAAGGGCAAGGTATCTAGAGGATTTCGGCAATCCACAGGGCATGTCTTCATCGCTCAAGTCTACTAGTCTGCTGCTTTATGTTACCCCTCTGGAGTGAGATATGATGCTTTTGAAGGCTTGTGATTTGCTTCGCCTTCTGTCCAGGTGGGTTGCGATGGAGTGATCGAAAAGCGGAGTGACATCCGCAAGGTTGTGAAAAAGAGAGAGAGAGAAGTTGGGAGGTGGGTGGGGGTAAGGCAGAAGAGGGAAGAGAGAGAGAGACAGGCTGGCTTTTTGAATCCCTTCCCCACCTGAACATGAATGATATACAATTTTCGCTTCCCCTCAATACTTAATACAATTTTCGATCCAGATCATCCAATGTGACATCCCGAAGTCTGTTAGTTGTTGAGCTCGTCTGATGCTATGACTGGCAGGTCGACTGATGGCCCTAGAATTGTGAATAGAATGGCTACGAGGCGTTGGTCAGCCAAACCATCATGGAAGACTTTCGCCAAACCCCCGGCCTCCAATGATGGCATTGCAGGATCGAGGCGTTCGTGCATGGGTGGCACGTTTCTCTGTTAATATGGCCCAAGTGTCTTGGGACTCTCATTCGTATAAGTGGTATTAGAGGTGTAAGCATGATCCTCTCCATCTTCAAGACGAAGGGAGAACACAAGAACATATTACTATCGTTATCATGTTCGTATTCATCGTGGGTTTAACCTAGATATAAAGAGCCACCAGAACCACCCTCCCATCGCAATCTTTGATAATCAAAGCCAAACATCCAGGTATATAATGAATGATGAAACCAACCAGAAATATGGGGGGGGAAATGCCTCCGAACGCCACAAAGAATGCAAAGCTCTATTAACATATATGCTGGGTATAAGTAATTCGGATCAGCATCTGGCGATGCCCATCCAGCTGAATTGGCTCAAGGCATGCTCCAGTATGCCCAAGCTAGAATGTCACCTTCGCCATCCAACGTTCCATATCACATGAGCAATGTCTCTGGCTGTGTTGACAGTATCAACAACCCTATCAAATATGCTGACGTTCGAGGTGTCTCCTTCATCCAGAAATTTACTCAAACTGGAGTTCGAACACTGATGTCCGTGAACCTCTTCTTCATCTTCAGGGTTCACAAACCACGGCCGATTCCCGTCTGTGACGCCTTGGCTCTGGCTCGGCTGCCAGCAGAAATCCACATGGTCATCCTCGCTGTCCAAAAAGAAGCTGAACGCCGGATCAGACGGTACGGAAGGTGTAGATGCGGCAGTCGATTTCGAAAAGTATCCTGTCCATCGCCCTATCATCGAGCCTGATGGCGGTTCTGGCGTGTCCCCTCGATACTTGAGGGTAGTCGGAGGGAGAGGAGCGATTATCTTGTTCTCGCTGCTGAAACTGCCACGCGGCGTACTTTTATGACTCCCAGACTCTTGTGGCGGGGACTGTCTCATCATGACGATACCGTCGTCCGACAAAACATCGTCTTCTGAAGCTACCGGCCACTCCTCCTCGTCATCGTCGTCGTCATCGTCGGCACCCTTGGCGTCGATAGCTATGCATTGCACTACCTCGTTATTGAAGTGAATACGGCGCCTCCCGCTAGGAGAGGCCACCCCAGACGACTCTTTTGTAGTAGAGGCATAACTGAGCGGAACGTATGGACGATTGGCTGACGACGTATTCAGGCGAGGTCCAAGTTCGGGCCTTGAGACAGAAGGCCAAGTCCGATAAGAAGCAGCCTCTTGCGCCTTTAAGATAGCGCCTGCGTGTTGCAGGAGGGTGTGCTGAGACAGCGATCGTTGCAAGATAGTCTCCGACGCTGTCCTTTTCTTCAAGATCGGCTTCCTGTCCGCATACATCGAGGGGGTTTCGAGGCAGCTCGGAGGCGGGGAGATACTCGGCGACGCTTTTGTAAACTTGGCGCAGGACTTCAACGGACCATACAGCCATGTTACATCGCAATCTTTCAACCTGGTAACCTTGTTAGAATACATAGACACAACTTTAACATCAGGTCTGCCGTGGTTTTGGAAGCGAGATCATGATGTACTGACCAATTGAGGGTCTCGGGCGACACCGTTCCCAAGTTATTCTTCAGCTTTGCCCAAGTCCGCCACGAGGCATTCTCTAATCTCGCGCCATTGCTGTAAATGTCTCTGCGGCAAACGACATATTTCCAAGAAGCCCAAATATCTTCCTCTTTCCACTCATGGGAGAGATAATCGACATGCCTGGTCGGCTCCTCTTCAACCGAAGTATCATCAGCGGCCGGTGCATGTACATGCAAACAAGGGGGGTCCGTGAGAAATGACTCCGAGGCCTGGTCCGAGGCAACAGCTGATACAGGCTCGTCCAAGTCGTTGAAGTGGCTCGAATCATATGAAGGTAGGATGATCTCGTCGTCGCTATCGTTGCTCACAGAGAGAGACAAACTGCTGAGGGTTGCTGGAGTAGGAGGTAGCTGCTCCTCAGTTGTCGGTGCGAAGTGAGGTGAGGGAGCAACCGAGGACGGGGCAGAGGAAGTGATCGGACTAGGACAATCTCGCGGAGAGTAAGGGTGTGGGGGATTTTTGAACATGGCAATATCAGGTGAGTCCAAGTAATAAGTTTGGGCCATGGCGCATCGCTGGAGTTTCAGAGGAGACTGAGAGCGTTTTTCCCGCAAGACAGGTAGCACAGCAATCATCGTACTGAGGGTGGAGAGATCACAGTCATCAAAGGACTTCGGAATGAAGACAAACTGTGGAGGTGGGATGACGACTTATTAAAAGCTTCGATACAATTCAACGAGAAAATCCTGGTAGGAAAAAGGGAAACGGAAAAAGATAGAAAGGCAAACAGAAAAAAAAAAATAGTCAATTGAGGACGATCCGAGGGAGCAACGAAGCATATGCGAAGGAGGAACTTATACGTCGGAGAGGATTATCGATCATGAGAGATTCTGAAAACTCGAGGGACAACTAAGACGGTGAGATACTTTGAGAGTTTTGATGTTAACCACGTCAAAGACCTTTGGTTCTCATCCTTCTTTGCTTCGTGCCTCGCCTTCTTCAAACGAGAGCCTGGAATCCATCAGTGGGCACTGGGCAGGGGTCAAAGACGGATGAGTTTAGCTAGTACGGAGTACAAGAGTAAGGTAGTTATCGATAGGAAGTGGCGGGTTTTCTTTTCGAAAAAGGCAAAACAAGGAAGAGGTCATGGCGGAGGAAGTGGAGATGCTAATGTCTGATTGTGGTTTGCATGGTCCTTAGTCCCCTCTTTTCTATTTGTTTTGAGTTCGGTTTCGGAGTCTCGAACAGTGCTAATTAAGAGCTTTGTTTTCAACTTGAGTTCAGAGTGTAGATACGAGGGGAGGGGTACTAAAAGGAGGTTGATACGAGAGAGAGATAGTTGACGGACTGCTGAGCGTGTAATGTTGGCTATCTTGAGATACACAAATTATCACACAATAACTAATAGAGGATAAAGGTACCCGAAATGTACATGGATGTGTATGTCAGGATGAGAGTACATGAGTGAGAGAGGCAATTACGACATGAGTCTTTGATGCTTAGGTACGGAGTGGATACCTCTGGCAGAGTATCTAGTTTGCACGATAATGTCCAAAAGCACTCCAACACTGAAATCTAGGCAGGCTGAGCGTTTAACAAAGCACCACCATACCTAGGTACCTTAGTCAAGTGGGGAAAGACCAGCAGGCTCGCTCCATGATCTCATTGGGCGACCCTTGTCTTCCTTAGGTAATCTAAGTGGCTGCCAGAACTTTCATCTGCGTCCAAGTGGGGTTGTCCATCAGTTCTTAAGAGCTCCAGACCCTAGGAGTCGAGCGTTGGTGGGTCGAGATCCACGATAGACATGGAGGCGGCCGCCGCTGGACAAGTACTAAGGTAGATAACAGATTAATATTTAGCGCTAAATGAACTTAGAAGTAAATCTAAAGGTACCCAGGGAGATACCTAGTCCGTAGTGGCTCGCTGTTGGTCAACAATCTGCTCTGTGCACTCCATAAAATACCACGGACCTCCCATGCGGAGAGAAAGTAAAACAATGCGCAAAACGGTTCTGGAGAACGGTGTTATATCTATGATGTATCTACTCTTGACTCCTGAAGTGAAAGCTGAATCTCATTGTCGCAGATGAAATCAGATGGTTCGATCTAGTCGGGTGCAGCCTTGAAGTAATGCTAGGTTTAGACATAGATGTGGATAACAACAGAGGACTTTGTCACAGCAGGCATGATGATATTGATCCGCTACACAACGGTTTCTAGTCTCCTAACTCGCTTGTGCAGTTATTGTAACTCCCAAATGTCAAAGTGAGGCCGGAAATGGTGTTGATCGGCGAAAGGAGACGCACTTCCAATCTGTAATCGGCTACCAAAGCTACGGCTTGAGTAGCGTCTGTACTTTGTAGTGCACAGAGTTAATACGATGATTCGCCGGAATGCTGTCGGAGTATGACGGGACGTTTTCCCGAGGAATGCCAAGGAGATAGGATATTCATACAAATATAGTTCATAGGTACTACTATACTTACTTAGACATTGTTAACTTTGCCTCTGCATAGAAGGCCGCCGATTAACATAGGGATGAATGACCATGAGTGTATGGTACAGGCAAGTGGACTCAGGGACTAAAGTCGAAATACTTTCGAAGTCTGAGAGACAGATAACGCAACTTGAACCATGTCTGCTGCATAAATTAGACCGGAAATCCTAGCTATCCAATGGTCGATTTACATTGGAGAGCATGGTCGGAAACCTGCAGGAGGTCTATCTGTCTTTGTACACTTCAGTGGACTGAACTGTCCCTCCCTACGCAATTTGTGAATGTCACTTCATCTCCTCCCCTGTCAAGTCTATCGGATTCTATCGGAGCCGTCAAATTCTGTTTCCAACGCCTTTCCGGAGACAGTCTGCTGAATCGTGAGTTATGCTATTAACAAGCAGCTTGGCCCCATTTCTTCTGGTCTCAATGGGCTGTCATGTCATATCTTGTCCAACTGTCCGTAGCGCAGCGCCACTAGCTTGGTGATCGGGGCTTTCTTGTGCCACACCCGGGTAGAAGGATCTGTGCACACCTTCCGCCACGATGCAGCATGCCATAGATACGCCTCGATGCAATAATGATAGCATACAATAGACGGAAAGCATATGATTCGGCGGGTTGCAGCTCCAAGCTATGCGAAGCTAGATTCTTTCACCCTATCAGTTCCTGGTCGCCAAATCTAGCTTACCAATTGGTTTGGTTATTGCCAGGTCAGCGATTGATTGTTTATGAGAAGAATTGGTGTAGTTAAAAAGGAAGCTCGGTGACAGCAGTCCAATTCTGTTTTCTCGTATATCTAAGATGTCTGAATGGAGATCAGGCCTTTGAACGAGAATCGTCTAGATCTCTTATCAGCACTGCAATGGCAATTTTGGATTTGTATTATTATTTGGGGATTCCGCCTATCAGTCCTAGAGCTTTTGATTGCCTTCTGAGCGCTACGCACATGGAATACCACGAAGCGATTCGTCAATTACCACCTCACCGTTGCGTTGGCGGAGACGTCATGACTATTTTAGATCCTTAGGAGGACGTTTCACCACTTGCGCCTCGCCATAACCATCCTGGTTCTATTTCACTAGACTCAATTCGGGCCTGATAAAATTATTCAACAATCAGCGTACTGTACCACTAAGCGGCAACTCATTATTCTTATCTGACCTGCTCCTGTCCTAGTTTCCTTGAGATAGAAGTCGTCAATGGGTAAATCAAACCATAAACCAAGGTAATCTGCTTATTCGTCCTAAATTACTAAGGTAGGAATATTTATCTTTACGATTTACCAGGGGTGCTATTAGCAGAACTCCATATATGATTCGACGAAGCGACTCAATGCCTACTAACCTTACTTACCATGAGCGAGCGCCTGTGCTCATGGATAACATCCAGTAAATCTTCCGCCCACAACCATTGCGTGCGTGGGGTCGTCCATTGGTTGTCATGCTGCCATATCTATCTATGGCGTACCTCCCTATCTGAAAAGGAACGCAAGCGTTGGCCACTGCAAGGGTTCAAGCGCGCGGGGGTACATTACTAGATTACTGTGGCAATGGACACTGTGGAACCCCCACTTGCTTGCAGAACCGCACAGCGAGGGGGGCGGGGGGGTTAAGAGGAGATAGACTGGAATACTGCAAGTCTCATAAGTTGAATTAGTCGAATACTCTGATGCGCGAGTCACTTCACCAGCTAGATAGTGCTTGTTTCAGAGCAGACTATTATAATGATGTCACATGACCGTAGCTCAGACAAGTGTCTAGCCATTAGCGGTTAGGCTCCATGGCCCCGCGCTCCATTGTATCAATATCCATCATTGCAGTTGTTCTGTACACCTAACACCTGAGCTTAGATTTCGGAAACCGATATTAAGATGGCTGAGGTAGCGCAAAATTCTCCTGCAGAGGTTCAGGCCAAACAAGTTGTCTATTGTGGTGGTAAGTCCCATGGCCCTCGATCCGATTTGAATATCCCTGTTCGGTCCGTTTCCTACAATTGCAAAACTGAACCTCGCAATCTCTAGTCTGCACACTGCCTCCAGAGGTACGGGCATTTAGCCTTCCTATCAGCACGTCCACCTGAATTTCCGTTGTTTGCCGTATCGAAGCAGGGCGCAGGCAGCAATAATAAAGATAATTGCAGCATATTAACTCGAAAGTGTTCCAGTACTGTGAATTCGGCGGTACCGCAAAGAAGTGCGAAGAATGGTTGAAGGATAATCATGCAGATTTATATCAGCGGTTATACTCGGAAGGTATGCTTGTCCATCTTTTTCGCCTATCAAGCAGTAGTGAGAGGCTAACTGAGATTCCTGGTGTAGAAGCCCTCAGCTCCAATCTGTCCGAGCTTTCAGTATCCGTTCGGGAGCGTGCAGCCAAAGACGCCGCCAAGAAGGAAGCGAAAGCTGCTGCTGCTGAAGCACGTGATGCAGAGCGGAAGGCAGCGAGCAAGGTTCAGATCAAGCGGGTTGAGCGCAACAAACGTAAACATGTCACCGTTATCACGGGGTTGGAAGTACATGGTCTGGAAAACAAGAAAGTCGCAAAGGAATTGGGAAAGAAATTCGCTACTGGTTCCTCAGTGACTAAGTCACCCGCAGGGGTTGAGGAAATCACGGTGCAGGGTGACGTTAGTGAGGATGTTCAGGAGTGGCTTCTGGAAGTATATGGGAAGGAAATTCCCGAATCCAACATCGAGCTTGTCGAGGATAAGAAGAAGAAGACAAGCGGCTGAAACAATGACTTTGTGAAGCCGAACGTTCAATTCTGGGACCTTTTCTCCCCACATGTTGAGTATCCTGACAATATGAAATTCAAAACGACAATATGAGAGTGACGCGTGATCACTCCGAGCAAGACCATCTATCGCTGGCTGGCATGATCTTCCATCAGAGTTCATCAAGCTTTCTTAGGGGATCCGAACTAGCACGAGTTGTCATTGCATTGAATGTTGGAGACGTTGGTGTAGGGGTCGAATGGGACTTCCGATAACATCCCGAATGAGACTTGCTGCCAGAGTGATATCGAGAACATACTTCACCAGAAGTTGGCTTCGGTAGTTGGATGGATAGTGCAAAAGGGCGTCTGTCCCCCATTTCAGCTGGTACAGGACTTTCAAATCCAGGAACACAAGTTGCCGAGGATTTCTGGCTGATGAGAACGATAAAGAAAACCAGTACGGTAAGAGCAACAACAACCCAGAAGATTCGAAGCCGCCGACCAACTCGTGTCTGCCATTCCACCTCCCTTTTCTCCCAAAGATCGATTTGGTTGCGGATTGCTTCAAGTCTCTTTCCAAGTGCGTCGGCTTTCGTTTTCCCTGATCGCATACGCTGTTCTAGCCTTTCTATTTTCCGCATCTGGGGCTGGAAATCCTTCAGATCTCCAATCTGTCTCCGAACATCCCCATCTAACACAGATGTCTCCCGCTCAAAGTCATTGAATATTGTTGATGCGGAATCGGAGAGTTCCTGAAAAGATGCAAATGTTGAAGTGAGAGCAGCGATCTTCTCAAGCAAACTGTAGTATGTATAATCCAACCTGCGAGTAATATCTGTTGCGAGAGTGCCGATCGTAGACAGGGCGGATCGTAAGTACCTAAGCGATTTGCTTAAGTTAGATAGTTTGTCAATAAACGTTAGGAACGACCTTACTCCTCTCCCTGTTGTCTTCTAAACTTCACCAGCTCTAGATCCTCCAATGAGCGTACATCGTGTGCCGTTAGGGAATCAGTCCTCTGGTTGTTATGTTTCCCATCAAGTAAAGTGCCTTTTCCATTTCCAGACACCAACCACGTGGTAGAGTCTGATCCCCAACGCGATCGAGTTGTCTCGCGCGTCATCGGCTTGAGCAGTTTATCATCATCCTCGCCTAGCCCTTGAGCTCCCGTCCATATTGGCAACGAGCCTCTGGCATCAGCAGGAGTGACGGAGCGATTCATTTCTGGTGGGAAAGTGCAGACTAGCTGTATTTGTCTTTATCGCTATTTCAGCCGGCTGATGGGTCTTGACGGCTTGACGACCGTGCGCGCGATTTCCTCGAATTGCATTGAAACCAGTAGACAATAGAAAACGTGCCAGGTTCATTGTACTTTGGAAGACTTTCTGTACTAACGACTGTGCGCTGCGAGCGAAGCAGATGTTGTCATCGAGTAAGTGGGTCTTGAACCCGCTCCTGTCTGAGAGTACCAAACATTCCATTTTGTTCGCCAAGAGGACGATCCATCTGTACAAATCGGCGCGCACCCTTCGTCGGATCTATTTCTCTTCTCCGAAATATAGTCAGACATCCTCCAGATTCCCAGAAGCAGAATATTTAGATTTGTGCTGTAGACTCTCCAAGGCATAATAACCACACCTCCTCAATGGCATAGCTGCAGCATGCGAGATCTCGCCGTGATCAATATCTTCAGCTCTGATCGAGCAAGCGTCTTGAGAAGCTATTAAAAGATGGAATTGCGGATTCTGATAATGTCGTTTTGTTTCATGACCTATATTCACTGAGATATCCCTCCTCAAAACATTGCATGTCATACAAATCAGGTCGGAAGAGACTGAAACAAGTTAAAGCCAACCCAACTCCTGTATCGGCGCCAATATCTCGAGTAATGCAAGAACTGAAGAACTGAAGAACTGAAGAACTGAAGAACTGAAGAACTGAAGAACTGAGGAACTGAGGAAAAAGGAAAGAACCTGGTATCTGCCACAAATGTGAAGGGTACGGTAGTGAATCGAATGCGGACACTGCGGGTAGGAGGTAGATACTTTATGGCAGGTACTGAGACAATGCTTCACGAGTGGAGTAACTTATTACGCTTCTCCCTTCGCTTCAGCCGCTCAACTCGTTTGCGATGCATTGTCTCTGCCATTTTCTCGTAGCGTTCTTTTTCTTCCTTGGCAGCTCTCCGATCCTTGATCTTCTGTATTTGGGCCTGACCAGTATCGTCAGCAACGGAGAAAGTCCATGAAGAGCTTTGCGTCTTCTCCCTACCTTCCGTTCAGCCTCTTTTTCTTCCCTCAGCTCACGTTCGTGTTCCTTAACTGCCTCCTGATGCTTGCGTGCTTCCAACCTTTTTTCATAGCTTGTCAGGCCTGAAGTGGGACGAAATGGTTTTTTTGAATCGCGCCAGTTTTTGCCTGTGGAAACGGATAGTCTATCAGCTGGAGCAGCTCGAGGCAAATAGTAGAACAGCTGAAAGCCCTTCAAGGAACAGTGCAGTAATGTAAAAGACGAGGGGGATAAGATCTTACCGTTCTTTCTCATACCCTTGACGGGGTTGACAGATGAGGTTGGGATTGCCGACGACATTTTCGGCAGAATTATGAAACTATGAAAGGACGGGTTTGTAACAAGAATGAGGAGAAGTACTGGCCCTGGGCTGAGAAGGAAAACGGGCTACGGCAGTACGGAGCAGAGTACGAAATAGTTGTAGTGGTGGCACTACCTGAATAAAATTACGATCTTTCAGACTTTCAGTAACTAATTTTTATTAGCGGCTCGCAATTCTTCGAGGAAAAAGTTATCTTAGACGGATCAGATAACCGGATCTCGGCTGAAGTGGTGGTCCGATCCCCTCCATTGGCGCCTGAAGAAGAAATGCCTCAATCAAACCTCCCTCATTCCACCTCCCGTTCGCGAGATTTACGGTCGCAGTAGAGCGCCACAGAAGCAAGTCTCCACTTCAGTCTCTGAATCAATCATGTGCATTGGCCTTTGAGGCCTATTCCCACTCATAAGCGATGCGCACTTAGCGGCTTCACCGAGTGTTGATCAGGCACAGAAGATAATTCGAAATCAATCCAATCCATATACACCGCCCCTCCCGTTGCTTCTCCTCTGGAAAATCTGACCTATACAATGCTTCACCAATAGGTCTTACATCGCATCCCTTCGCTTTTTCCATCTCTTTCGCGGCTTATTATTTTCCATCACCTGCACTTCAGAGCTCCACAGCTCGTTCCCTGAACCTTAATGGCGGCCGCAGAACATGTGCTTGCAATCGATAATGAGAAATCAATGGAGCTGCCTGTCCTGCCGCCTAACCAAGGCTTCGAGGCGTTCAAAGACATAATCTTTGGATCTGTAAGCGCTTAACTTCTTCATGTCTAGACGAATATCGCTCACACTCAAATCAATCATCTAGGCAGCTGGAATGGCTGGCAAGGTCATTGAATATCCTTTCGACACTGTGAAAGTGCGGCTTCAATCACAACCAGCTCATATTCCACTTCGGTACCAAGGCCCTTTGGACTGCTTCCGCCAATCAATTCAGGCGGATGGTCTACGAGGGCTCTACCGAGGCATTAGTGCCCCAATGGCAGGTGCTGCCATCGAGAATAGCTGCCTCTTTTTCAGCTACCGCATCATTCAGGATATTCTCAGGGCCACCTGCTACCCTACGGCGGATTCTATGCCTTTCTCAGCTCTATTGTTCAGTGGTGCTGCTTCCGGGTCTATCACCTCACTTGCGCTTACCCCGGTTGAGCTCGTCAAATGCAAAATGCAGGTACGACTTGAAGCTTCTAGCAGCAAGATGCCCGGGCCATTGACTCTCGTCGCCGCTATATTTCGTCAGGACGGTATTCTTGGTTTTTGGAGGGGCCAGATGGGAACGTTGATTCGTGAGACCGGAGGAGGAGCTGCTTGGTTTGGAGGCTATGAAGGAGTATCGGCTTTCTTTCGAAAATACCATTCAAAAGCATCGCCTCGCGACTCTGAGTCACTTCCAATCTATCAACAAATGATCGCGGGGGCCGCGGCGGGTATAAGCTACAATTTCCTGTTCTATCCGGCTGATACGGTCAAATCACGGATGCAGACAGAGGACATCAATAGTACAGGAAATCGTGGTAAGAGGCAAACATTCTGGAGTGTTGGCAGAGCTTTATGGAAGCAGCAGGGGCTGAGGGCATTGTATCGAGGCTGCGGTATTACATGTGCTCGGTCTGCCCCTAGCTCAGCGTTCATCTTCACTATTTACGAAGGGTTGCGGAGTTATTTCTCATGAGCATATTGTCTATTACTTGCCTGTGTCTTCCCATTGACTTTTACTTTCCCCTCCACACTTCTAGCTTGCTCGCGTTTATGATACCTCACTTGATGTATAGATCTTCTCTTCTGTCTTCTTCTGCTTTACGACAGTCAATATTCTGGGCTAATCTGGTATTGGCATCTTTGCAAAAAGATTTCTTGTTCTTCCATTCTCAATTGTGGCACAAATACCCGCGACGTTGAACTCTGGCCGGGAAATCATATATAATCATCAAAGCATAGAAAGGAATATCATTGTATAGACTGGTTACATGCTCTTGAGATTCTCCATGAATACACTTTTGCTAAATTTGATCAACCTAATGGTCTACCTAGAGGACTGTCCACTTCTTCCAGAAGGCGGGGTAGAAAATTAGGAACAGCTCGCTGCGGAATCACCACTAGTGACCCTGCACCTCACTTGCGACTACAGTCTACGTAGCCCGTTTCCATCAACGCTCTTTTGTTCTTCTATAAGTGCGCTTGCCTACTTTAAACTTTGTCTTTAAAAATGACAACACTGTCAGGTCTTACAGTGCAAGAACTAGAGACACTCTCGTCCAAGGCCATCGCTGCAAAGGCCAATGCTTATTGTATGTTCCACAACAAACATCATTCCTCAATCACATGAGGGAAATCCTTTCTTTACCACCTATGTATGGGGACAAGTTTTGAATTTGTGCAGGCCCTTATTCCAAATTCCGCGTTGGCGCATGTGTTCTCACTAAGACTGGCGAGTATATTACTGGTGCCAATGTCGAAAATGTCGCATATCCTGTTGGGACCTGTGCGGAAAGGGTAGCTTTCGGTACCGCGGTCGTAAGTACTTGATATAAGTCTCCTTGTTCACATGGCTTCTTAGGGTCAATGCATGCGGTTGCCTTCGAAACTTCGTGAGAAAAGCAGTCTCTAATGGTCGATGTTATACAGGCCGCCGGACACCAGGATTTCAAGGCGGTTGCTGTCGCTACTGATATCACACCTGGCGCATCACCATGTGGTATGTGCAGGCAATTGTAAGTGCTACCGAACCAGTCCTAGATCTAAATCTATCGATTTTGCGTTCACCCCGGCCTGGTTCTATTAGTGGCATTGATCTGAACAGGCATTCTTTTCATATTTGGTTTGTCTTGTTGTTTGGAAGGCAGTTCAATGCAACCCACTAACCTTCTTACTTTCCTATCTACCAGCATGCGGGAGTTCACAACTCCATCATTTCCTGTTTTCATGTATGACGGGCAGGGAAATTATGCTGTAAGGACAATGGGAGAGGTAAGCAGTCCTTTCATTGTGGACTCTTTCTTCCACATTGCTGCTTGTTGTGCGTAGTTGGGAACTGCTCCGGTTGACCCTGTCACTTTAGCTTCTACCAGACTCATTCGGACCGGATGACTTGCCTCGATAGGCCTGAGACTGCCAGGCAATGCATGTCAGTTCGATATCTAGATACATTTTTGTCTCCCATAGGATTCATGGCAGTGGTCTGACATAACTGAGCTTTCAAAATACAAATATTGGGTTGGGTCTCATTGCACGAGGCATTCACTGCACCATGCAAATCAATCACAATGATCAGCTGCCTATGTCATAGCACTGAGAAACTCTCAGACAAGACCTTCATTGGGATACGGTATTCAGCTGAAACAACATTTCATTCTATTCAATTACCAATATGTCGATATCTTCTCAGAGACGCTTGAAAATTGTAACAAGGGCTTAAACCGGCACAGGGTAGATGTTCCAGGAAACATCAGATTGATCTCACGACCTTATCACCTTCGGCAGTAGCAAATACAAGCTTGATCAAAGCTCGTCGTCTTCATCAATCTCGGCGTCATCCGCGCCCAAAAGCTCATCTTCATCGTCGACGACACTGGTATAGTCGCCTCTTCGGGCCGCAAACGAGCCCCTCGATGCGTATGGCCTTGAATAAGCCCTGTTGCGCCCAAGGCGCACATAGCCGCTGGCGCTGCGCCACAAACTCATGGCAAGAAGGGGAAGTGCTCTGACAACAGCCACAATACCCGCAATAACCGCGATTGGCACAGTGACTATAGGTGACTCTCGCGAGAGGAAGCCCTCATAGGCACCAGCATTCTCTCCAAGGCGAATTTGGCCAAATTTGCCATCCCACTTGGTGTACACATAATACCCAACACCAGCTGCCACCACAATGGGTATCATTATCGCAAAGAATAAGCCAGTTCCACTTATACCATGCTTCTTCTCATACTCCTTTTCTTTGCTTGGACATGGCTTTGAGACGACATGATCTAAAGTCAACCCGCCCGCGCACGTAGTTTGTGGTATCCGTCGGTACGCTGTCGGCTCCCAGTATTCGACCCTATCAGGATCTTCCCTACACACGGCTAATGCGTCAGGTTTGGGAAGGCCGGGTACTAGTGCACAACTACCATCATTCTGGGGCTCATAGTTGTAATTACTGTAATAGTAGTCAGATATGCCAATAACAAAATCAAGAGAAGTATTAGCAGCTCACCATTCATAGTCCGCTCTTGTGCAGGTGCAATTCCTTCCGATACTGTGGACATGAGGTTCGCGCCAATTGTTCCAGCACTGAGAGGACAGCTTCTTGCGATGGTACTGTTCTACATGGCCGAATAGACAATTATCTTCCTGGAAGGGGTGCTTGGGTTCCCAAAGGTAATAATCGTCACCTTCATGACCATCTTCGACCAAGTTGCATGACTTCTTCCGGAGACCACTGAAGTCAACGTTAATCGTGGCAAGTCTATTGGACTCCACTTCTTTTCCCCAGAGAAGAAAATTCTTGGAAGTGTCGGACGGAAGGGTTGACAGGCGATAAATTTGCATCTCGACTTCCGAAAATTCATAGGGTTCCCAATTGTCGCCCTCATCAAGACTATAATAAAGGACCTTTGTTGGTCGCGACTCGGGAACAATCACAATCACTGACCCGGAGTCGCCATACTCCCACATATATCGCCCTTTTTTCACGGACTTCCAGGTTATTCCGCCATCCCGAGTCATGAATGTGTCCGCTTCGTCCTTTCCAGACAGATGAGCACCAACGTTGCCTATCCCCATCATGAGGCCGATGGCAGACCCTGAAGAGAATGTGTCGCGCGGATCTCGGCGTTCGGTATAGCCATGCAGATGAAGCGAGCATTGATCACTGCCTTTCCCATCCTTAACTGAACAACCAAAGTTTTTACCATCGGCGTCTTTTGCTGGAGGAGGGAGTAACATCCACTGGCCACCATCATTGTGAGTGATCATCGTTTTTAACTTCTTTGCGGTCGGTCCCTTCTTCAATACGGCGTCCACATTGCTGATGATGTTCACAACCGCTACTCCTTCTAGACCTTGCATCTTCTCAAAGTCAACGTAGCCCCATTCATTCCTGCTCGCGGCGTTGAGGCTAAGGACATAGGACGTTCCATTACTGTTGCTCTTGATAATTGAGCCATACTCAGCTCCTTTGACGTCACTCACGGTGACATGCAGGAAAACGGCATGAGTCGAGCTATCCAGAACAGTGAAAGCCGTTTTGACGGGTACATCAACATTTGGAGGAAACTCGGCTCGCGCAAATGTCATGCCATCGACGCTGATGCTGGCAACTAATGAGTTAGGATTGTCTGGGTCCCGCGAGGCTACAATTATGTATTCAGACATTGTGGCGTATCGGATCGCATCGTTAAAATGAACGTGGCTGTCAGAGAATAGGTTTTTGCTAGACAGCAGCTGCAGGTGGTTTTTCTTGTTCTCATTCTCATATTGCTGGCAGAATATAAGCTTTTCACTGTCCGGTCTGTTCTCGCGGCTCTCGAATTCACACTTTCCAACGTAACGGAGGAGAAGATCCCAATTCTCCCCCCGATTCTTGCTAAAGTAAGCATCGGAGTGGCAATCGCCGTGACCGCAGTCAACTGCCCCAGTCCAAATCAACCAGTCCTTGTACTGGGGGTGAAAAGAAAGGACTGGCAAGCCCTCCTGATTAGGTGGGATCGGTGCTTCGAAGGATTTGAAGGTATAGGCACGATCGACGGTCCAGAAAGCCTGTTTGTCGCGAGTAAGGAGAAACGCCCCATCAATGTAGTAAGGATGAGGGACAATGGCGGCAATCTTCACGCCTTTAAGAGGTTGTTCCCAACTTTTGCCATGATCATGAGAAACCCAAAATTCACCCTCGCTGGTAAGCATTATGACGGTCTCATCATTTCCACTGCTGCTTGCTTGACGTTCAAGGTAATAATATTGCTCACTAAATTGTCTCGCGTCATTAAACACCTGCTTCTGCGCCATCAGTTTGTCGTGTGAAGGTGCGCTAACTACATCCTTGCAAGGCCTCTCGATGTCTTTATCGAGATTCTCGCCGCCCTCCCGGTTGCAAGTGTTTCCTGGAATGAGCCTCCAGCCTGACGGTCCCATGAACGTATCGGTCTGCTTCTGGCACTTGCCTAAGGGGGGCACTAGTGGGGCTGCAGGGACACAGCTCTTTCCATCTTCACTGCGCACAAAGTTGAAGTCGCACTCGAAATCTTCAAATGAGCATTTGCATGGTTCGAAAATGGGCTGCGGATCTTTGAATTCCTCGTCCACAAAACAGTCAGCGTTGGCCTTCCTCCGGTTGAAAAATTGCTGGTGTCCCATCAAGCAGTCGGGTTCACCGTTTTCGTCCAACCTGGCCGCCCACTTTTCGAAATCATCTTTCTCACACTTTCTTTCATGAAGACCGCTGAAGTCGATAGAGTAAACAACATATTTTGTTCCCGAACTTTCCTCTGAGCCAACAAGAAGGAAAGTCAAGCTGGTAGAATCGGGCGTCGTTGTCAGCAATTTGGGATAAATCTTATGTTGAAGTTTGGTAGAACGCCACTCCTTCCCATGATCAATTGAGAAATGAATTTCGTCTGTGCTTCCCTTGTCACTGACAGCGATTATCACCGAACCTTGATCACCGAACTCGTACTTGAATGGACCGTCAAGCGCATGGCGCCAAGTCACGCCAGCATCATCTGAAACATAAAGGCTACCTTCTGAGTATTTTTTGAGGTGGTCGCCTGTGTTACCAACACCCATCACCAAGCCCGGAGCGGGACTTGAGAAAACACGGCCCGTGTTAGCAAAAGTGGTCACGGAATGTAGGTGCAACTGCTTGTCGCCAATTTTGAGGGACTGGAAAGTCCGTCCATCATCAAAACTAATTGAGCTAACAACCTTCTTCTTGTTTTCCGATTCAAATTTGTCCCAGTTCTTCACTGTATTGACCAGCACAATACCTTGGATATCTGCTATCTTCTCAAAATCCACGTGGCCGAAGCGATCACGATTTGTATGTTCGACATTACGCGTGAAATAGGTACCGTTAGAGTTCGAGGTGAATAGTATGCCGGTATTGCTAGAGGGGCTAGTCAGGACGTCCACTTGCATGCTATAGTTCGTGCTTTCCAGCAGTGTATAACCGTCTTGTTCCACTCGATGACCTCCAAAGTCTGCCCGATGCCAGGCCTTGGTATCTAGCGTGACGTAAAGAGCCAGCTCATTTGTCCCCTGAGATTTTGCTGCTGTCACGAAGAACTTCTTGACAGCAGCAACGCTGAGGATACCCGAAACAGGTCGCCCCTGTTGAATGTTCAGCTCCGTCCCTTCCGCATCGCTTCTGAAAAAGTCGTCCGAGTACACAAGGCGATTCGCATGAGCGGATGGCACTTTCAGGCCAGGCACTATGCACAGAACGCGATCACGGAGTTCCTCTTGAAGATTCAATCCTTCGGCGAATTGTGGATGTCCAACAGCCCACGCGCATCCACCAGCACTGACCCGTAGTGGCGAGATGGTCTTGA